GGGGGGGGGAGCAGAACCTACTCCTTCTTCAATGTACATGTGTGCCATTTGCTTGTCCGTGCATATGTTTGTGCATGTATGAATCGAATGATTACTGGCGAAATAGTAAGATGTTAATATGTTTACAGATTGCATTTACCTATTAATATACTTTATAAACCTACTTATAATTACACAATTAATAATGATTAAGACAGAGGAAATTAGAAATAAACGAAAAAAGGAACAGAAAAGTAATAAACATACCAACGCATATCCGTTTTCCATTCACCGAGAGAGGTATTTCACCCACTTTACAAGGAATCGGTCCTTGGCCTAAAACATAATACCAACTGATACTGGTAAAAAATTGTTCACTTGTCAAATGCAAAAAATACACAGGACGCTCTCCCATTGGCTTCTCTCTGAGAGACTGAAACAAATCCCTGCACACTGTTACAGAAAGCATGTTGGATGCAATGCAGGTCTTTGAATGGAGGATTTTTTTCACATTTGAGGTATTGATTGATTCACAGAACCAACGTGTAAGTAAACTGTACATGTACAGTATACCTCTGTAGGTTTAAATCTGAAGAATACACTGAAGTAATGGTAAAAGGGCGCATGCGCACTCACCTTCTCCACAGTATGCCATGTCACAACTTGGAACCTTTGGGAGCTTATAGATGAAATACTGATGCCCGTTGTCAACGCAGTTCTTAATTTCCACACTTAAGGTGGACAGTGGGTGGTAGTACGTCACACCAAAATACTTGAACGCTGCATGCTTGGTGACTATCTGTCCCGGTGTCATGGTGGCGGCGATGGGATGCTTTCCCTCCAAAAATATGGGCGACTCGGTTGAGCAGGAGAGCGCCGGGAATGACTTGCCGGACTCGTCTGCCATACGCTCCCCAGCATTTCCAACAAACCTACGCCACACAAAGTTTACAATAACAAAATAAACTAACACCGATACCGGCACATGTTTGTTTAATTTATCTTTAAATGTTAACCTTCACAAACATATAACATGGTTTATTTTCCTTCACAGCAAAAATAAGCTAATTAGCATAAAAAAATATGTATTTTTCATTATTCATCTTTCCTCGCAAATACATATATTCTTTCCTTCATTAATTCAATCGTTCATTTTTCATCACTCTTCAGTAACGTTCTAAAGGAATACCGTACCTGTACCAGGCGTGAGGCTGTCCGTCGTCACAGATCACCGTCCCTGACGAACGCGCCGTGGTGTTATAATTCCTCTCCTCGTCCTGAAGCCGGAAGTGGTTTGGGAAGACACACGGATCCTGCTGAGCATCCGTCGGTAAAGAAATGGCATTCAGCAGGAAGATTACTGGAAGACATGGTGGAAATATAAGAACAGTACCATCTACGTCCAGAGTCTGGTTTATATATGTACTTCTCTGACCAGTGTTTGTCCACTTGCGTTAAAAAGAGGGGGCGGAGGATAAATACCGGGGGTATAGGCTAGTATGTGCCATGGAATGTTGAAGAGACGCTTTGAGTAAGGAGTTTGTTTAGTGCCATACAAAATAAATAACACCGATAAGCAAATGAAGTTACTGAACTTTCGAAAAAGTAGATTAAAATGGCTCAGCAAAATTGAGTTTTAAATGAAACATACAGGGGTGCAATACTATACATAAAATATTTTTGGCAAAAATGAGACACCATGTACATCTACATGTATACATGCAGTTTAAAATATGTACGCACATCGACGTTGTGGGAAAAACAGGTGAAAGTGTCCAGGCTTGGAAGACATAGGAATGGACAAAAACTTAGACTGTCTCAACGATCTCCACATGCTGTCATGAACGTTGTTAAATATCACCGATGGCACATTCTAAATACTCAACATTACCAAGTTCTTCAATATTGACGTTAAAATGCTAGTGCTCACCCACTATGATGCCTGAAGTTCTGTGTGATATTCTTAGGGCCATGGCGGACTTCTGGTTTCGTAACGTCTGTCTGCTGAAAGCTATCGTCCCACAGCTATATCTACCAGTAAATGTCTGATAAAGATGTCACATCACTGTCCTAGGTCTGTTTATACAGAGGGTTATCAAATGGAGAAGAGCACATACAGCTATCAGCCGCTCCTGCTAGAGGGTATACAGTAGCTCTACAGAATGCTTTCATACCTGTAACTAGCAGGTATTTCTAAGATTTGACACCGTGGCATTAATTACAGTTTCGAAATTTACAAAAAATATTATGAAAGAGGTTTTTATACAAGGACATAATCTGCAGCTTGTATACCTGTGATATTTTGTTATGAACGACAATTTGGGCACTGCAGATCTCACTTTATAAAAGGCGTTATGGTAATACAATTTCTTTAGTTGCAGCTAAGATCGGACTAGAGTAGTAGGTCGACAATTTCAATTTATTTAAACAGTAAACTCGGGTTAAATGACTATGTATGGAAATCGAATGTGCAACTAAAACAAATAGTTGTCAGAAGTGGGATTTGAACCCACGCCCACATTCGTGGACCAGAACACTCGATCCTTCATGGAGAAGGCAAGACCAGGCTTGAGTCTGGCGCCTTAGACCGCTCGGCCATTCTGACTTACATAACTCCAACTGGTGATTATGAAAAGGTATTCGATATAAAACAGTAGGTTACAGCATATTCTTTATTTTTGCATTGTTATATTTGATTTTGTAATTCGGTTTATTATTTTACTTATCCTATCTTTACTATCTTCAGCTAGGTTTTGGAATAGATTTTTGTATTTAATGTTGTTTTAGTAAAACGTAAAGTAATTCCTGCAAATGAAGAATGCCAGATAAATTGGTGTGATGTGAACACGTTAAAAGGCGGGCCCTGAACGTCTTCAAATTGCCTGTCAACTACAGTTACCGCCCTTCAGTCGGCCATACAAAGTAACAATGTGACATGATTGTCCGAGAGACATCGAATCACTTGTAACTGTCACGTGGTCTTGATCAGTAATTATGAAGGAAAATCCACTCATCTGGAACTGAACAGAAAGAGATAGCTTGAAAGCCGGCTGTCTTCACTGCGACATTCAGTGACACACTGTATGTATTCATTATGTCGGAACCATATGTAGAGAGAGGCAGAGGCAGAAGAAGAAAAGCGTACCATGGTGAGGAAAAGGACGGAGGGGTGGGAGAGGGAGGAGGTGGAAGGGGTGATGCCAGTAAAGGAAGCAGGAAAGGCCGGGGAAGAAAACGCCGAGAAAAACCGTATCAAACAGGTGAGAAATTGACCTGCATGGGCACTATAGTAAATATTTTACTGTATGTTTAAGCAGATTGACTTAATTTACCCAAATATGACGAAATGGTTGTATATTTTAGATGCGCTCGATATTTACCCATCAAAGAAGAGCAAATTAGCAAAAGCAGTCTTAGATGGTGCCCATCTTTCCATGGTCTGTCTTGTGACCTATGTTTGAAGTCAAATGTCCTTGACTTGGGTGTTGTTTCCTTTTCCTACTGAGATGATGATTGTCAACACGGTGTACATGTACTGCCTTATTCGGCTCGCTCTCTGCCTCTTCTTAGCTGGGGCTTCAGCGGCTTTTCTTTTGATCATTACCCGAATGATAACAAGTAGGACTACTAGTATTAAAATGTGATAAAATCATCACATGATATTCTGGTCATAGACATTGAATTATGTTTGGAGAACTGCACTACAGCGTTGATATACACGTCAGAAAGCAAAGCGCTGGTATTATTGAAATAATACAAATATTCAGCACAATGTTAATACAGTATTTGGCCTTATTATTTTATATTGCACTGCATAATATATTATATTATATTATATTATATTATATTATATTATATTATATTATAGAGAGGGACCACCATCCCCGGTATGAGCACCACTCACACACTGAGGACAGGGACGCTGGGAAGGAGGGGTCACGTGGTGCACACAGGGAGGAAGACCATCATGGTGACCATAAGGTGGGTTCGTTTAGAGAAATACTTACCTGTAGCTATAGGGGTGACATTAATGTGTTATGTACTGGTTATGTTGCGATGTTTATGATAATGATCGAATAACCCATCGTGAACATATGCATCTTTAAACGTTTAATAAAGATGTTTGAATACAGAAGTTTTTTTCCCTTGCCGTTTTGTAAGAAAAGAAACTCGGCATGAATCAGAATTGATCGGCATTAACGTCATGCGTGGTCATTATTGAGAGAAAACTTCACGTGGGATTATAAATCACTCACGACTGAGCAGCCATGATTGAAGCTTGAAGAAGAGGAAGCAATAATGTGTTAGGTGAGATAAACGGTAGCATTGTAAGACTTGAACCCATCTGGAGACTTCCTACCAGAAATAATGCACATGCTGTCTCTTAAACCACCAAAATGTGTTTTAAAAGTTTAGAGTTAATTTCATAGTGAATATTCAGCAATGTATTTTCAGGGACCGTCGCCGGGCCTAAGGCACGCAGACGGTAGGCAGCACGAGCGACGAGGGCACGTTCACAGGCCACGCAGTTTGCCAGCAGCACCTTTACCACACGACTCCCACCATGTGGTCAACGGTCATCATCCCAAGATGACCGACACTCAGCCACCAATAATAGCCAACGGTCATCCACCTTCGCTGACTAACGGTCAACGTGCCCAGCAGGGTCCAACAGCAGAGATTTTAGACACTGAGCCACATCCAAAGTCCCCCAAGGTAGGAAAAGATCTGAATGGAACACAGGCCCAAGTACCATCACCTGCGTCTACTTCCGAGATTAAAGAAACCCAAGGAAATCCAAGTGCACTGTTCCCACTGAAATCACCCAAGGAGAGCGTCCAGGTCTCTATCCCCGTGTCGTCGTTGTCTGATGAAGAACAAGGGACCTTAACGTCAACCTCTGCAGCGTCTTTACGCGTCCGCTCCATCTCGGCACCCGGGAAGCACCCACGTGACCTGCACGCGCAGACCACACACAGCGAGCAGGTCCCTACGTCAAACCAAGACGTCAGATCAGTGGAAGATAATACTGCCGCCAATGACGAGAACCTTTCAGCCTCTTCTGTTTCTCACAGCACGCCACATCTTGAAGAGCAACCGAAAGATTTTTCTCGTCTGATCACCTCGCGTTTGGTAGCCGGTTCAGGACAAACGAACGCGCAAAGCTCTGGGGTTGTGCCCGCTACTTCAGAGATCTGTGCTGGCATAGTCCACCAATACGACAAAGATAATCTAGAAACAAACACGGCTGCCAGCACTTCAGAAAAACCCCTCGACGCTGCCATCTCGTCAGCAAGCCAGGAACACGAGGATGAACATGAAGACAGGAGTAAGATGTCGACGCCAGAGATTCTTGAGATGCCCACAGAAAACGCTGAAGTACCTGAAAAGGGAGAAGCTACGGCAACACACGAAAGTCAAATACACCGAACCATGAGTGACCAGAATAGCCGAGGCTCAACACCCGAACTGATTGAAATGCCAGCTGAGGAAATTAGCGAATCTAAAATGCAGGAAGAAATAACCGTTAGTGAAAAGAGTCAAAAACACCAGCAAGTGACCTCAGCTAAGGAAGAGGAGAGTAGAACATCCTCGCCAGAGATTATTGAAACACCGTCAGATATAAGTAACGGGATTATTGAAGGAAGTCAACCAGATCAAAGCACGACTTCTATTGTGGACGACGCCAATACCTCCTCCTTGCTGTGTCAGTATGTAGACCTCCCAAGTTCATACCCGGATTCATTGCCAGAACAGGGCAAGGCGTCACCAGGTGTCAGTCATGAGCAAGACAGCACGGCGAGTGCCAGTATTGTGATTTTGGAAGGTGACGAAACATTTGAAGAATACAGCCGGGCCACGACACCGGACATCATCTCACCAATGGCTCCTATAAGAGAGATAGATCTAGAAGAGTACGACTCCGTGGAGGTTCCCAAGACAACCCCTACAGCTGTTATCACCGTGAATGAAGACGAGAAGGCTCAGCTCTGTGGAAAGGCTTTTGAAAGCCCCAGACCTGATCATGTAAATAAACAAGGTACGTATCAACCATTGACATGCGTTGTGACTTTAAGCTTTTTTATTCATAAAAAAATTGCTTTCGGTGAAAAAAAGAATCAGCGTGCGCTTGTTAAACACTGCCACCTGGCGACTGCACAATACTGCATGGAATAAGACTTCTTTAACATGGTTAATACTGGCAGTATTATTATAATTAATTTTATCACTTAGAACTGGTCATTCTTAAACGTAATGCTTGAATAATTTTGTAGTGCCATTTTTTCAATTTCACACCGTCTTTATCAATTTTGATAATTTTGTAACGTTTTTTGATTATTCTCTTTTAAGAATCCGTACAAAATATCTATGTTTGCCTTCCAGAAGACGAGGCTGAAGGGGACGACGACAAGGCCAAACTTGTGGAGGACAGCCCCGGTAGTCAAGTGCTCTCTGACGACATCTTGATAGAGCTGGAAAAAGCTAAAAATCAGGTCTGGCGATTTATACTAACGTATAAATTCAGCATCCTTGTCATATTTTTTTACTGGCAAAATTTATTCAAGAGTAAGAGGTCGGGGATTCTGTTACTTCCGTGCCTCGCACCACCTTCGCTCCATCAGCAGCTTATCAAAGACTCTTCTTGTTGTTACAAAATGGAAGAAAGACTTGCGCCCATTTTTGTACAATGTAACTGAAAAAGTTTCCGGTCTAGATATACCCCATCCATGAATACGCCCTTGATCATATTTAAAATATATACAAGAATACTTTGTGTGTGTGGGGGGGGGGGGGGGGGGTGAGGGTCACGGTCTGATATCCAATTGCTGCTTTTCCAATTGTGCTTTTTCTAATTTTTCAGATGGCTGGGGAGCCCGTTGTGCCTTCCATGGAAGCAGACTCTCCATCTCCCGGAAAGAACCGCTACAAAGCCTCGGAGAAGACAGGCCTCCTGCAATCTCCTCTCTCCGAACATACCGCCCCGGGCATTTGCTTGTGCTGCACTCTGCTGTGACACTGTCACATGAGTGTGACATGAAAGCGACATGTGTGACGTAACAGTGAGACGTACCTTAGCTAACGTTGTTGTTGATTTACTGAATAGCATAATAACAACCATGATGAATCAGTTTCAAATATCACAGTTGTGTATATCTATACAGCATCACGTTCCGTATTTATCACTACCAATCTGCTCAGTGATCCCAAATGAAGGGTAACTCGTCCCTTTTCCCCAAAGTCAATTTTGTCCGTCCTGTTAGCTGACATGAACCTATCATGTTACTACCTTATTATAATTTATACTCTTATATGCATTACTTGAATGTAGATTCTTTGAATTACTCTGTGCTGCATGTCAATTTAGTATTTACTTGTTATACATTTATTCCATGTTTTTGTCATGTTCTGTGTTTATACATGCAGTGGCCACCAGAAGATGACGGCGCAGGCAGTACGTTATATAGGTCGCTATATATACATGTAAGTCATTTAGCTGAATAATCACTGACATATCAAATATGTTATCCTTGTCAGATATTATCAAATATATTATTATATAACTTTGTTAATTGTTCTATAATATTCAAATAATAATGAAAAATATAAATTTTCATTAATAAATATGGTTATATTTTCCTAAGTTAGTTAAGTGAATAATTATAAGCTGTCCATGCTGCAGATGCTGCGGGGGTCCATTTTTCACCGTAAATAATCCAAATGGTGACATTAAGCTATCATATAGTCTGGGTTGTCACCGGAGACTAAACGCGACCACTTAGCGTCACAACATACTACATAAAGATGCAGTAGCAAATGTATAATTACTTGACGTCTGCTGAACACGTGTAGTTTTACAAGTTTAATTTGTCTGCATTTCATTTGCAATGCAAAGTCGAAGAAAAATATTTATCGTCAAGTACCACTGGGTGTCGATAACGTTGAATTATGCAATCGTTGTGCTTTCTAAAATTTTAAAAGACCCGTCTAGCGCACTGTGACACCATACTAGTTTCATTTATCCCAGTGATATTTCACTGTTATATTTGCTGTTAGATTTTTGATTCATTGGGATCAGCACGAAAAAAATAATCTCATACTGCCTTTAGGTTTTATTTCAACAAACGCATGCTTAAACAACACAGGCAAAAACCCTTCGGAGTTGTTAAGTACAGGATTTTTTAAAACACGATCTTAAATACTAAATACTCTAAAATGACTTTGATTAATTACATTTGAAGAGTAACCGAGTTCTTGAAATGCGTTTTAGTGCCATCTTTTCTGTTACAAGATCTCACGAGGGTTGACTCAAATACAACACAAGAAAAGCACTCCGAGAGCGCAGACCTCCGCCTAGGCAGCAATTTTTGATTATTGACTCGGATCACCACCAAAAACTATTCATCTGTTCCTTGGCCCACTTCTGACAGTTCCTGAAAATGTCATCACAATCGGTCCATAACTTTTTGAGTTATGTTGATGACAAACAAACAAACAGACAAACAGGGGTGAAAACAACCTCCTTGGCGGAGGTAAAAGATGCGTTTCACAAGATAGAAAAATCGTGAAGGTAAAATCTCATTTGCCGATAAGAAGTTCTTGGTCGCTATGTACTTGTAGCATAGGAGGAACGTGGTGTCTCCACCTAGGATCTGGACAAAGAGACAATGTTTTTTTACAGTTAAAAGTTAACATCACTCTTATGTATTCCACCATTTCACTTTTCACTGCATGTTACACTACACGTTGCGTTTTAAGCGTTAAAATGATGGGAAATGTTTAAAGCGATACATAAACTACACGTGTCTCCTCCACTTGATGTAATCTATTTCTCAATAGACCAAATTACTTTTTCAATACATGACATTAATGAGACATTTAATAGCCATCAAGTGTGAGAAATGACGGCCATCCATCACAGACGTATCCTGTCCATCTCGGAGGTATACGCTGGATTACAACTAGTACGGATGTGGCTAGGGCCTGGATATCGGACGCCATGGCGTCTCCCAGATACTCCAACTGGCGACCGAGAAATGTCCTTTAGGTCTTTATGAGTTCTTACTTTCAACAAAGTATGCTGTCAACATGTGAATTTATAATCCAACAAATAACCGCGGAGTATATTGTTCAGAAGTACGTAGCCTAAGTGTGGTTTTCTCACATAATGTCTAATCTTAATTAAAAAGCAATCGAATTAAAAGCGCTGTATGTTTGGAACAAATCCCTTACATTATTTGGTGGTAAAAACTTTCTATGTAATAAAGATATGTATTAAATGTACTGTGTGTTATATGTACAGGGTACTAAAGGTGTGTGCAAGGGGTAGGGGGGACACTATAGATGCACTTGGTGAACCTTCAAAAATCGATTTTTTACACTTTAAATTAACTTTCTTCAAGCCAATATATTGTCATAGACAGAACCTTTTATGGGGGGGGGGGCATTTATTGCGGAGTTTACACCATGTGACATCATACTACACGTATATCTGTTAACAACACATATTATGAATTTGTTTGCAATCTTTTGTAAAAGCCGAGGTTAGCTGGTATTTATCTTTACACAAGTGGGCTACTTGTTGATGCCCTCCTCGCCTTACGAACTTCTATATCATGGTCTCCATCAATGACACAGACATCATCAACGATGTTGTCCTTAAAACTATTTTTTACTGATAAACCAAACAATGGGCGCACATTCCATGAGGTACAGGTTTTTTAAAGCCAAACATAACGCATATGACCTCCAGTACCCTGGGAGTTGTTTAGATAAAGACAACACTTCGGAATTACAGTTGGAATTTTTCTAAACGCCATCTAAAAGTGAACAGTCATGTGAAAACCCTTAATGTTTTTTATTATAATAATCATTATTTTTTGCTAAATTTCTTTCTCGTCATTGCTCTTCCTACTTAATGCCACAGTCCACTTGCCCAGTGTGTACATGTACTAGCATGTCCCACATTAGATCCAGTTACCAGTGATTACCAGTTTTATGGTCTGGTATATCGTGGATTTGATCGACGACACGGAAATCATCAACTGGCAAGTTAACGGTGTTTGTGTTGAAAATGACACACTAAGTGAGATGTGCACAATTTGTGTGTAACCTGTAATTGTTTCGCGGTTTTAAGATCAAAGACACCTTGGCCTGCCACTAGAATAAAGTGTTTTCTTTCTCCAGATAGGACCTGTACACTGTACTTAACGCTAGGGTAAATCCGCTGTCCGACGCAGCGTGCATGTAAACATGCAGTAGTAAATATTTTTGACAGTAATACACGTGTTGCAAAATAAAATACCAAGAAACTGCTCCGACAATATTATTTCAAATCGACAGTTTATTACATGTACAACTGCAGTAGTGGAAGTATTTTATTATGTTCTGTTTCCATCAACTTCAAGCAAATGTTCATGGTGGGTTTGCAGTAGTTCGGGGTAATACTACAAACCTGAGTAGTCTGCTGTGTCATGCAGATGTAAGATGTCGCCATGTTGGTTAGACACAAACCACAACGCTTCCTGGTTGACGAAGAGTGCCCGCAAAGTGTCCTTTGGTGACTGACATTGGGTTGGGATACATGTCATCAAGTGAACGATCGAGAAACCCCGTCCGTGTTAACGTACATACATGTAAAGTAAAACAACAGGTGATTGATGTAGCCTTGTTGATGTTGTCCTCAATGGGTTCACTGATGGTAATGGGGAAAGAAGAGGGGGTTAATAGTGTACTGTTTATGTGAGGTATAGATTTCAATTGGTCCCTGTCTTTACTTGCGTGAAGACAGTTTACATAAAATCTAACTTGCGAATCGGTGCGTGAAGAATAATAGGCAACCGAACCTTTTCAGTTGTTTTAATTGTTAGTAGTAAACATTTGAGTAACTTCGTATTGTTCTGTTAATTGTTTATACGGTGTCTTTTTGACTAACTGTTTGTCGGGAATAAAAAACAGTGAATCACCAAAAACAGTGTTTTCTACGCACAGTAATAAACACTATATCGAATGCTGCCGTATATACATGTAATAGTGCGGACTTGCTACTCTGATACAAGGTGGTAAACAAGGAAGAAAAATTAAAGTTTGTTGACAAAACCTTTCTATGTTAGTCAAAATTTACTTAATACCATAGATGGGCAGAGCTGAGACAAGAGAAATACTTTTATTAACTCCAGACTCGATTATTGCATTAGTACATCCTCTTTTTGGTCTAAGTCGTACTCAAGTTAACAAATTGCAATAAAAACAAAATTTTGCAGCCAAGCTATTAAAAAAAAGTAAAACTATGTACATGTAGTCGAGAACACGTGCCACCCGTGTTAAGAGCACCGAGTGTTGATCAGACAGAAAATATTATCTGAAGTTTGATGTTTAACTAAGAAAAGAGTCACAGAGAAGAAAATCACAAAACATTTCAGAACTACTTCAACCTCTCCAACAGACCAGGGTCGCATTTCTGTCAATCATTTACTTTAAGAACATTCTGATCTGGTAACAAATTTTATGGCAAACGAAGATTTACAATATACGCACCAAAGTTATGGGATACTTTGCCTACTTAAATAAGAAAAACAAGTGACTTTGAAAATTAAGGAACTTTTAAAGACCTACATTTTAAAATTTAAAGTTTTATAGTAATTGATAAGTTAAAATGTTTTAGACTTTCTATCTTTTAAACTTAACTTATTGCTACTCTAAGATTTATATAATTATTTAAGAGTATTTGAAAAAAAATGGATTTTAGCTCCATATATAATAAGTGCTTCTTGCATTCAAATGGATTGACATGGTAGCTACATATAACTTCCAATTAATCCTTGTAATGCTTTAAGGACAATGATACGCCCGGTTACCGACTCGATACACCCTTACTTATCTTGTAATGGTACATTATGTTCATTTCTCTTTTTTCCTGTTGTTTCTTTTATTGGCAAGGTCATTGTTTTAATGGATGATGATTAACATCGTTGTCAACATTTAGGTAAGAAAGTTTACGTCATCACCACACAGTCTCACTGGCACTCGTACTAATGACTTGAAGATAGCAGCGTCTGGTGCCCTGTATTCTGGACAACGGCATCAACAGCCAATTGTTGTGTTTTCTTATGTATAAGACGTCACCAACGGTCTTGTATATTCTCCTCCATGATTTAAAGTAAATTTGTCAGTTTCTTTTATTCTTAAAAAAAAAGAGGAACCAGCGGTGTTCGGTGAACTGGTTTAATCATTACTTACCCTTTTCAGTGAATTTTCATATTTTTCAAAAAAAGATCAATGTGTAAAACTGTAGCATCACATTTTAAAAACTTTTTTTGTGCTTTTACTATTTACGTCCTACAATGGTGAACCTATAGACCATTACACCGAATAACATTTCTGAGAAATTTGATAAATTAAATTACTTTATTTGGTCGCTATAATTGGCATCAAAGAGAAAAATAAACAATTTTATTGAAGTTTCATTATGTAAACATTGCGGACGTTGATCCTAATAAACGTTACCGTGACTCACTTAATATCCAAACAAATGAGTCCACAGAACGCTTTTCACCTGTCCACGCAGTTAAATCTGCTGAGTCAATCTTCTCATCTAACACGTCACAGCGCGGAGAGCGTGAACCTAAGTAATTAACTTAATGCGTTCCCTTCACGCATGAAGGAGACGACCTTTCACCTTGATGCTAATTTCTTTGTGATAAGCAGATATATAAGGCGCACGCTCCGCGGCTTTATTTAAGAACAGAAGCAAGAGAATACTGAAGATAACAGTTATTACCAAGGGTGAGTACATGGTTAATAGTTTGCTGGAAGCTGTTTGGTTTTAGCGAGCTTGTATGAAAATATTTCGGTAAAAGACACACTCGTTTTCAACGTGTAGGCGATTACAACAATTGATGCTACGACGATGCATAATAACGAAATAAAATTTTAACATTACAAGCCTGTGTTTAGTATAGCTGCTGTTAGAAATCTTCCGGTTACTACATTACAAAAAATGCTAAAAATGTGGAAATGTGTTGAAAGTCTCAATTTTGTTTCTAGAAACGGTTCTAATCAGTGCTGATACATTTGTTTAGCGATTCTAACTGATCTTATGTTGCTCATATTTTCCATATATTCATAAAGCCCTGTAATTCTGCAACTTAAAGCAGATTGGCTCAGTTTTATTTATTACAATATGAAATTATTCGCAGGAAGAATTTTTGATTGATATTACAATCGACGAGAATGAGTTGGACGCCGTTCGCCAGTCTTCTAGCGCTGCTCATCTGCATGGTACAATCACCGCAAGCGGCAGCAGGTAAGCTTCAGCGTCCAGCTAGACGCCTCATAGCTCCCTGGTTACATGGGAGAAGTTTTAATGTTGGTAAATAAAACAGACGCCCAGAAACGAAAACTTAAGACATGCATTAACGCTCTTTTTGTTAATGCATTTAACGTCAATCTCGAATTTATGTTACCCGAGGTTGAATACGAATGTCAACGCGTCTTCACTGGCAACTGATGACTCATTTTCCCAATTGTGCACGGACCTTCACGTTTTACTATATTTTAACAGGTTACCATGTCGTTTGCTACTACACCAACTGGTCTCAGTACAGACCGGGATTAGGAAGATTCCGTCCTAACCATATTGACCCCAACCTCTGCACCCACGTCATCTTCGCTTTTGCACGTGCTGACAACAAGCGGCTCGCGCCATATGAATATAACGACAACGGTAAGACACTTTCTGATATCTCACTTAAAACAGAAAAAATGGCCTGTTTACGTATAGTGCGTTGTAGTGGCTACTGAGGACAGAGAAGGCAATAATGAAGCTGAGTCATAAATAAATTGTATCCGAAAAACCGTCAACTCACAATTGTTAAGATGCGTTTATAAGTTGAATCACTCAATTGCCATTAATAGTAAATTGGCTCAGATGGCAATGAATATAATTAACGTTTGAAGTAGCCAATAAACGACGCAGACAAGCCGTCTTAAGAATTAAATCTTTAGAAAAAATACGCGAATTAAGATTCTAACGATTTGAAAGAGGTGTAATGTCGATTTTCAAAAACAAACAGTGTTACAATGATGTTTATTTAAAAGCACCAAACGAGCAATTTGTGGTTTACCATCACAACCACAAGACATATTGAGTCATTATCTCAAATCACTGTCTGAGCTGCCTGAAAGAACTTTAAAAGTAATGTTACCTTTCGAGGCTTGTTGATAACATATAAATACATACTGTTAGAATGATTTGTTCAATTTTAATGCGTTGATTTCACGTTTTTTCTAAGAGTATATTCAGAACAGCGGACTAACAGATGGTCGGCCATATTTGATCCGCTGATCTAATAGTCCACTGGTCTAAATGGGCTCTAATATATGTGAGATCTGTTTCTGCTTCTTGATCATATTAATTACATGTTTTATTTTATTTTAGTTCTGTACAAGGAACTGGAGGCGCTGAAGAGGCAGAATCCCAGACTGAAGACTTTACTGGCTATAGGGGGGTGGAACGCAGGTGTATTGCCGTTCACTCAGATAGTGAGATCTCCCCAGTCACGGAGGGCGTTCATCACACAAGCCATCCGTAAGTTACCTCTCCCCTTTAAGATAAACCTGTTGATTAAATAGGGAAATCGTTCTGAACTATTTTCCTCTAAACCCTTGTTCGCGTAATGTACTTCTGCGACCGTGCAAACTTCCAAAGGGACAAATTTAACAAGTGGCTCCTAGACTTCCCCAAAGTCGGAAAATCATTTCCAAACCCAGTTTTAGTTTGGTACTTATGCATGCTATTTGCCATGCCGTTTGACAGATTACCGGGTCTGAACTGTTTATCCAGCAGGGTGAATATCTGGGTATTTACAACGGGTATTACGCGTTTGTCACAAAGAGCGCCAAAACATTAAAACACTTAGTAAAGACATCCCAAATCTTCAATTAATTATCTAGGAGCAAGAACGACATTTACCCCAAAGGGTGTTATGTCAAATTAACGCAATTGCTGTCGATGGAATGTAAAGGCACTGCACTCATTATTAACTCGTTAAATACAGCATTTCTGCTCTTTTTTGGTTCTTTCAATCTATTTGAATAGTTGTGTAACGGTTATCTTATGTCGACATTCAGCATTACTGGGGATTTCCCTGATGATTAAAATACACGGCAGCAGTGCTAAGGTGACATGTTCCTAGTCTGAAAATGGATAATCTTTAGATCACAATCTGCGCCTTACCTCGGTTTGTTACTCAGTCTACTTATGCAATCAAAACTTTATGCAAAATTAAAAAATGAACAAGTAGATGTTTTGTCACTATAATAACATGTCTATCATATCAGCAGGCACTTTCTGCCCTGTGTTTTGACGGGGCATTAGCTACTTTACATAACTATAGGTTCGATATCAAAATTGCAGTGGTACTGAAATGTTCTGATTTTATGTACTTTTATCAGGGGCTAATTCATCCTTACTATCCGTTTTACTCAGCACGGAGATGAAAACTTTGAAGGCAATGAGAGACTATATCCTCACGTTGATATTATTGTTATTTACAGAATATCTCAGAAACAACAAGTTTGATGGCCTCGATATCGACTGGGAATATCCGGGGTCACGTGGTAGTCTACCCAAGGATAAGATTCTCTACACAGTTTGGTTGAGGGTAAACTTCATGTTTTTCATTCGTTTTAATTTTTGAAGATATAAATGGCCTTTTACTGATTGCTTCTAAATATGTTCTTTTAAATAATTGACAATAAAGTCATTTTAATAAGCATTTGTGTTGCTTTTGACAATGAGATAATTTAAGTAATTTTTTGATACCATGGAGTAACTCTTTGAAATTTAGGGTTTAAAAAATGGGTTCGCCATTATCTTTTTACAAATAACGACTCCTGATCCCATTCTATCACTAGGAACTGAAGGCAGCATTTGAGCGAGAAGCGCGTCAGGTCCGCCGTCCACGCCTCCTGTTAACAGCCGCGGTGGCCGGGGGTCAGTCCTACATAGACGCCGGGTACCAGGTGGCCGAAATTGCAAAGTAAATATTTTGGCAGCCTTTTTTATTAATGTGTAGCGCAACTAAGGGAACAATACACGTGGAAAGCTCTTCATTAGATAAGTGGGTCCATGGATACACGCTTTGTCTTCCTATAAAATCAGTTAAATTCTAAGGCCAACAAAATACTCATGAAATCTAATGACAAATTGACCAGATCTTTTGGGTGAAATGAATACACACTTTGTTGATTTCAGCATTGCTCGTGTACCTTAACGTTTCCTTTGAGCTAGGTATCCGTGTGCTTGCATTTACCGGTACCTGGCCATATTCTGGTATTGATGTTGTGTTCATTCCTTCAGGTACTTAGACATGATCAATGTGATGAGCTACGACTATCATGGCGGCAGTTTTGAGTGGGGAAGGACAGGACACCACAGTCCGCTGTATGATAGCGGCACCCTTCACCAGGTAACTATATGGCAATGATATACAACATATTATGTGGTCTGTATACTACCGGTAGCACTTTATATATAATTATGTTGCAAGTGATTGCATTAACATTATGATCATCATATTTTTTATCAAATGTTGCATTCTTTGTATCGCTGAACAAAAATTGGCACCGACAGCCATTTTCCAGTTTCATGTGTGCCTGTCTATGTCTTTTACTGATATTCACTGGCATGACGCTTACACCTCTTTATACTTTTTTATTTAGCTAATATATTTCAATGTACTCACAGGTTAAGTGTTTCTACATGCCAAGTGTGTTATATATAATGATTTATATAACATATATTCATGTATTATTTACATCCCACTCCAGGACTGGTCTATACGGTACTGGCTCAGGAATGGCGTACCTAGTCATAAGCTCCTGATGGGAGTCGGCTTCTACGGGAGAACTTTCCGTCTTAAGAGCGCTCAGAACCACGTGGTGGGCGCCCCTGGCGGAGGACCGGCCGAGGGAGGACCGTACACGCGAGAGCCGGGGTTCTGGGCGTACTATGAGGTAATTAAGGGTTGAAGGGTCGCTATGTCTTTAACAGTACCAACACATATGATACAGCGTTGTAGTTGACGACTGTCAGGTATAATTTATGTAAAACCCATATTTAGAGAATGGTGGATATACAGGATGAGAAACAAACATTGTATCTACAGTTCTGGTCTAGTGAAGAGATCAGTGACCCTAGACTTATCTTCTATCTGGTTTTATGTCTCTATACTGAGCACAATTGTTTTCTAAACGTCTGAAGTAAAACATCTGCCACATTCAGCCACCAAAGAGAATATCATATAATGGATGCCTTCCATATTTCATAAAAATCTGGAATCAAATCGTGTCGAGACAACTTGTTTGAGCGGTTACCCGTTAGTTCTTTACACTTCTGTGTATTCCAGTTTTGCTCAATACATAAGAATGGTTGATAGCTGATAGTACGGGGTATAATTACTAGTACCTTAGAACCCTCCTATATCATGTAATGTACTTAATGTGATTTTTACCAGATTTGCTCCAAGATCAAAGACTGCGGCTTCCAGGAGGAGTGGAGCAGTAGACACGGGGTGCCCTATGCTCACAGAGACACACAGTGGGTGGGTTATGACAACCCTAAGAGTATCGCTGCCAAGGTGGGTGGGTCGCCTTCATAGTGTATTAGCATCTATATCTTTCTTTTTCGTGTGAACCATCTGTTATGTGTACTCAGTATCTGCCTATTTTTTATGATTGAGTTTGTTGTGTTCAGGTGCAAAAAATACATGCAAGAGGTAACTAAAAAGATTGCGTTATTTTAGGTCCAAAATGTAAATGTGTAAAATTTGTTTTGACGAGAAATAAAAAATGATAACCATGTGCGTAATACCATGGTGTGTGATGCACAGCAAGTTAAGAAACTGTCATAAGTCAGAGAAAAAAAACAAATAAAAAAAGGCTCAGTGTGTTTTAGTGAGAGTTTTTATCTACTTTGTGTTCTTATAGAAATTGCCAAAAATATTTTGTTATTGTGCAGTTTCTTGTTACTTCCGCAGGCGGCTTATATACGTAAACTGAGGCTAGGTGGCGCCATGGTCTGGTCTCTAGCTCTGGACGACTTCACGGGGTCGTTCTGTGGCCAGGGGAAATACCCCCTACTGACCACCCTTAACCAGGGTCTAGCAGGCGCTAGAACAGTCCAGTCCCTGGCACGACAGCGTCCCATGCCCCGCAAAGGTATGTTGTTTAACCTCTGACTGGCGTTCAATATAAGATTGTAGTTGTAAATATATGAAGTTAACACGAAGCGAAGAATGCTGGCTGCTGTGAATCTTTAAGATACACATTTAAACAAATGTTAGATAAACACATTTTAATAAATATTGGATGAAATCATGGAACACTACGTTCTATACGCACATTCTTTGTGTAGATTATCACTCACTTCGTATTTAGTTTCTCGTTAGAGCAAGGGCAAAGAAAACCCGTCTGTGATATGGGCAGCCGTACAAATACGTGTTCTATAACCTACATGTATCTGTATCCCATTTTGTGTCAATATTCTCACTGGTTGTGTTGGTACTCTATCCACCCTCAGGTAATACTAACAAGTGCACCATGGTGTCGTACGGTGAAGCCACCAGCGGTCAACAATCGCCTCCTGCCAGCGGTGACAACGCAGCTGCGCCCCCAGTAGAAGCTAAAGAATGTCCAGGTATCACAGGCTACACCTGTAAATCAAACGTTATTAGAAATCCAGAAAAGAAAATGTTCAGGCACAACTACTGAAGTTTGCCGTGTGACTAAATTATCACTGATGGTTTAGGCATCTTTTCCTGTTTTCTTGGTGTATTCTCTCTCTTTCTCTCTCTCTCTCTCTCTCTCTCTCTCAAACACACACACACACACACACACGAATCTAATTTCTTGCTTTCCATTTTGTCAAGGCGATTTAACGTTTTCGGTATATTTCAGCTGGCGTCTACTGTCACGAGCCCGAGGGTCTGTACCCCCACCCTGAGCGGTGTAATCAGTTCTGTCATTGCTGGAAGGGAATACCTTATGAAAAAAGCTGTCCCGGTGTCCTTAACTACAACGCCGCGGTGGGGACGTGTGACTGGCCTCTTAAAGTCAACTGTAGAGTACAACTTAGGAAAGCAAAAGAAGACGCCAAAAAGGCACCAGTACGTATCCGGCGGACCACCCTTCCTGCACCTGTACGCGTCCGCCAGACCACCCCTGCTGTTAAACTGGCGCTGCCCGAGTTTAACCCGAATCTGCGTCCAAGAAAGTTTGTGAAAGGACGGAATTGCGGCAGTGGTAATTATGTTTACTATCCAAATAGCGATATTTATACATATTTTATGACTAAAATTACCGTTCGTAAAAATATTCACAAGTTCAAATCGTACCACATGATCCTTATGACTCAGACTCGGATGACAGCAGTGTTGAACGCAGTAGACACCCGCGTCTAATCACGTGACTGTTTGTTAAGCCGTGCTAAAATTGTTAGGGACATCTTATCTGTGGAGCATCTTATAAAGCTAATATCACCACACGTTTGCACTCGACACAAGCTAAACCGTGTTCTTTACATAGTCGTGAAATGATGTGTCGCTCATGTAGAAAAATAAATATATACACTACATTATTGCCTTCTATTTACAGGACTGTAATGAAATGTATAAAAATGTTCTGCGAAGACTATACCATTAAATGTTAATTTTAAAATGCTCCATTATGCTTTTTAATATTTCAGTGAAATGCAACCCTGATGGTTTTGGTCTATTTCCTCACCCAGGTAGCTGTGATAAGTTCTGCCAATGTTCACATTTTATACCATATGAACAGGATTGCCCACCAGGTAATATGTTTATTCCAAAAATTTACTTTTAATATTTTGTTGCTTTATGGCAGTCTCTGTCTCATGTTGGTGGTCTTTCATTGTGTTACAACTACAGTGTGTCTTTTCCCGTGTTCACGCCATACACTGATGTATGACCGTTGTATGTATGGCCAAGTTCAACGTTCTTACAATTAAATACAAGTAGCAACCAAATCACACCCCCTTTCCAAGGTGAAATATAATAAAAGAAAACTACTAACCATTTATATGTTATAGTTATATGGATGTGCAAGTTAGTATCCAAACAAATAAAATAATGGGTTTTCATGCGCTATATGTTGAGTTGACGTAACAAAAGAAATATATTATTGGCCACAAAGCTAACAGGTACCATGTATAAATGTGTACACTGTATACACATGGGTGGTGCATACATTGTAGTTTGAAGGAAATCTGATAAACAATACATATGCTAGTAATGTTTTTTATTTCTAATTTCAGGTCAATTTTTCGAACCTGACCCTTCAAAGTTGTGGTGTGACTACGTATCGTCAGCTTGTCCCAACTTGGCAGGCTTTTGACGTGAAGGAACGTAACATGTGTTAGGAAGGAAAAGATCACCAGACTGCATGTTTTTACTTCCCTGGCCACGGCGTCTGAAGGGGGTGTGACCAACAAGACGGGTGTTAGTATGGTGGAGAGGTATCTGCCTGGCTTAACTGTCATCACGCGATAGGGATTTCAGGTTTCCAATAATACTCCGAACTGTTTGGTCGATGTAAAACGGTCCTTAGTGCTGTAGACAATGAGCTACGGCATGAACGAGTATTAAACGTAATCAACCTCACTGACGTGTGGTAGTTGACTTAACTATTGATAAAATGTGCTAATTGACGTAATCACTGTACAGAGCACTGTAATAGTACACGCCAGACATGGGGATTGGCAGGCCCCAATAGAGATCGTACTTCTGGTTGTTCTATACCGATGGTCATATCAAAAACTTTTTAGAAACCACGCCGTGTGAGTCACGATTTTAAGATTACAAGCCATTATAAATATGTAAATATGTAAGAAAAATATATATGATGATGTTGTATATACAGTATTATTTTTGATGCGCATGTATGAATATGGCACAGAAGCGATGTATTCATGTATTTTAAATGTATCAAATAATAAAGTTCTTCTTCTTTGATTTAAGATCTCTGATTCCATCCCAGTATTGATACAAAGAATGAAACAAAATGCAAAAATCATAAGAGCGCGTTTCACCGGGCTTGCAGCTGCTTTGAGAACGAATTTTTGCCAATTCTCACTCCTTTTAAAGTTTGGTGTTTGGTAAAATTTGATAGTCAACATCAATTGCACTTGACATCAGGGTTTAAACATTTAAATGAATTTATTAAATATAACTTTGTACAGTCTACATGTGCAAGAAACTTTATTGGTAATTTATATTGATCATCTAATAAATGTACATGTGAAAATCTCGAGGAAAAAAAGATGGTATACAGCTGCCTATGCAACTGTAAAAAGAAGTATAGCACTTCTGATTGTCGATGTAAATAAGTGTTCATTCAGTTTTGACGACTGCAGCCAGGTGGTGGTGACACAATGCGGCAGGTGTACCAATATAATTACGTTATACAGTAAAACTGTAACGAACTGTAGAACAGGTATTTTTTTCGCCCAAGCACACTGAGCCAGGCCAAGACGAACAATGACAGTACCTTCTTTTACCTGGCACTTAAGTTCATTGCGTTCACAGACCTGGGAACACATGTCTCTCTTTGTGGTTGGTCAGAACTAAGTAATTAGATTAAAAATGGAATAAAACATCAAATCCAAGCTCGAGGACAAGAAGCAGAAACTTGCGTTTCTCCGAGGAAAATTCATTTTGGTTGGTAAATCCCATTCAGAGTACCTTCTTTCTTTCTCTCTCTCTCTTTATCTTTATTGCAACCTCAAGGGTTCATGACATAAAAAATGCATACATAAAATCGCACCCGTACCCATAATAAAACCGATGATAAAATCATTGCAGAAGCGTGATAAGATCATTCTTAAATATGACCAGGTTGAAATATTAGACAGAAAAATTAATGAAGAAATAAATAAAATATAAAAAGCTTTTGTTAAAAGTAGCACCTTGTTACATTCGACAGTGCCCGCATTGTATCCTGTTAATTAAAAAGCTCATGTTGTTATGTACCTGTATATTGAGCCTGGCGAAGGAATATGACGGGTAGGAGATGTGTTGCCAGACCAAGGCAAGCAAATATTTCATCAAATATAAAAATGCAATGTATCTCAATTTGTCTCCAGAGAGAGAACGCTTTTATTATTAAGTCTGTGGTAAAGTGTAAGTCAGAATGGCCGAGCGGTCTAAGGCGCCAGACTCAAGCGTTGACTTGCCTTCTCAATGAAGGATCGAGTGTTCTGGTCCACGAATGTGGGCGTGGGTTCGAATCCCACTTCTGACAACTTCTTTTTATTCACTTGGGGCGAAGAAAGTTATTACATATGCAATTACTAGGTCCACATTATATTAGTAGTGAGTGCGAAAAAGACAAAATGTCACCAATGAACTCCATGTACTTTCGGCGTGGGAGTTCAACCCCCTTCTCCAAATAGACACTTAGGGTGAAAATAAAGGACGTTCTAGAATATGACTTAATCTGCACAGACTTTCACAACTAAACTGACTAAAAATTCAAATAAAACTTCTTCATCGCTCAATCTTGAAGGTCATTTTTGAAAACCTAACTCGCACTAACTGCTGATTTTGAGTTACAATTTATCACAAGCATTCTTTTGGTTTTTGTTATATACACTGTGCAGGCAAGTGCTACTCTTTTAGTTAGATTTTATCAGGTACTGGATAAAACTGCTAGTTGATATTTTGGGAGTGACCGCACCTGTATTGCTTCCCAAGGGTACAGTTTAAACAACAATACACCGACTTAAAAAGTTTTAACTTTATTGGTTACTGACTTCATGTACACTAGAAATTTATATTGATCGTTCCAAAACTAGAACTAACACATTTAACTACAATCAATAAAGATTGTTACAAGCTTTAATAAGTACAGGTACCGAAGCACTCCTCTTGGCCTGCAACACTACCAGTACCTGAAACCAGGAGTCCAAATAGTTAGGAGGAATATTTGGCATAAATGTTACATTTTACGTTGTTTACGTTAAATAAGATATATTAATAAGTATTCCAAATGGATAAGGCATATAAAGTTGGTTTTGCTATATAATAAAATGACATAAAATGAGGATATCTTCACGGTATATGCGGTATTGGTGTATATTTAATGATATAAAATGTGGTATTTTGTATTTTCTGTATAATAAGTCATGTTAGATCACCCTGAGCTTCAGAGCTGACTTGACACTAACCTTTTCACTGTAGCCTATCTCCATCGTGTCAAGTAACCTCTGACGAAAATAGTTTGACCTATTTTATATAAGCCAATCGAATCCATGTTTCAAAATTTTTCACCAAAGTTTGGTGAAAACGCTGATTGGTTGATCGTCAATCGGCAATCCTCGGCTGATTCCGCAAGCTCCATACTAACAACATAGTTATTGTCGAGTGCGGAGACATCCGAGTAGTTCCGAGTGGTTCCGAGTGCATAACCGTACACAAAGAAAGCATGGAGTATATCGGAATTGAAACCAGAGCAGTATGATGCCCTGCATCATTATCTACTGAGGGATGATGTATTTTGCGTGCTGCCCACAGGTTACGGCAAGTCCCTGATATTCAGCCTTATCTTTGATTGGTCCGGATTTGAACAAAGCGCGCTTTGACTCGTTCGCGTTCATTGGCTAGATCGTTCAATGAGTCATTGAGTGCGGGCTTTAAATTTGATTGGCGGGCGGCGGGGGCACTCGAATCTGGTCAGAGGTTACTTGACACGATGGAGATAGGCTACAGTGAAAAGGTTAGTGTCAAGTTAGCTCTGAAGCTCAGGGTGTGTTAGATATGATATCTGATAAAAAACAGCACTTTATAAAAAGGTTTATCGCCTGTCAACAAAAACACATGGGATTTGGGGTGGAACAACCTTTTTGACCAAGGCTGTGCACGCACCGCGCGGTTCTTGTCTGTGCGTGCTGCACGTGTGTACACTGTTCCAGGGCAGCAATGTGGCGTCTTAATCAGATATATACACGTACATGTGAGGTGATGCTTATACCAGTCCAGCAGACGAACCAGACGTTACATGACCGCCATGGCTCCAAGAATATCACGTTGGACTCGAGACTTCATAATGGGTGAGCAGTAGCATTTTACACCCGAAAGGATCCGATTCCAAAACAAGAAATGACAAAACTTGGGGACTTCATATATTTTTCTTTAGTAAAAAAATCCAAGATAGTCCTGAAAACTCTTTATTTTGGATGAAATCCGAAAGATAAGATCAGATCGAAACTTCGGTCAAATACCAAACCAAAACCAATATAATAAAACATTTTGGGTTTTTCGTCTTCGAGTGTAAAACTCACTTATCTAGATGGCCAGCTTGATATATTTTAATACGCAGAGATTTGTCACTAAAGCGACAGGTAGAAATTTTGCTTTGTGCGTCATATTGGCTCTTGGGTTCCCGTTAAGGTGAGTTCTACAATGTACATTGCTGTTTGAGTGCGACATTTTTGGAACAATTGTGTTTAAAGATATTGTGACGTGAAAATCATAAAAAGACAGGACAGGGCTTGTTATGCTAAGTAATTTCAAGGCTGTGGAAGTAGGCAACAGCACTGTTCTTATATTTCCACCATGCCTTTCAGTGCTCATCCTGCTGAATGCCAGTTCTTTACTGACGCATGCTCAGCAGGATCCGTGTGTCTTTTCAAATCACTACCGGCTCCAGGACGAGGAGAGGAATTATAACACCACGGCGCGTTCGTCAGGGACGGTGATCTGTGACCGCGGCAGAGCCGACGCCTGGTACAGGTAAGACATGTTTGTAGATACCTTATTGAAGAATGATGAGAAATATATTAACGAATGAACGGATAAATGAATGAATTAATGAATGAATAAACATATAGATAAAATCGAACATATAGTGAAAGGAACGATGAATAATGAAAAAAAATCTTGAACATATCATTTACATGTCAAAAATGTTTTTGTTTGTTTCGGTGTACAATTTTAAATCCATATTTTGTTTTCTTTACATATTTACATAATTTTCAAGCTAAGCAGTATACTTTTGATCTTCAAATGAAAATAAACCATGAAGAAATACATTTTTAAAAATAAGCTGCATTTATAATATCAATTTTAGTTTTCTTGGTTTGTAAATCTTATTTCGCGTAGGTTCTTAGGAAATGCTGGGGAGCGTATGGCAGACGAGACCGGCAAATCATTTCCGGCGCGCTCCTGCTCAACCGAGTCGCCCATATTTTTGGAGGGAAAGCATCCCACCGCCGCCACCATGTCACCGGGACAGGTAGTCACCAAGCATGCCGCGTTCAAGTATTTTGGTGTGACGTACTACCACCCACTGTCCACTCTAAGTGTGGATATTAAGAACTGCGTTGACAACGGGCATCAGTATTTCATCTATAAACTTCCAGTTGTACCAACTTGTAACATGGCATACTGTGGAGAAGGTGAGTTCGCATGCGCAGCTTATCCATTCACTGTCGTCCTCACTGGTTGAGCTAATGATTTACTTATACTTGGGTCTGGGAAGCAATGAATGTCTCAAATGAAAAAGAAAAAATAAAATTAAAGTCTCATTAAAAGACTTAAGTTGTATTTTGTATAAGTGTATTCTGTAACAAAATGTGGAGGAATACGTTCCAGTTCCGCTGAGAAAAACCAATAGGAGAATATCCTACAGTGTCCTGTTACAAGAGAACAATGTTTTATCAGTGTCAGTTGGTATTATGTTTTATCAGTGTCAGTTGGTATTATGTTTTATCAGCGTCAGTTGGTATTATGTTTTATCAGTGTCAGTTGGTATTATGTTTTATCAGTGTCAGTTGGTATTATGTTTTATCAGCGTCAGTTGGTATTATGTTTTATCAGCGTCAGTTGGTATTATGTTTTATCAGTGTCAGTTGGTATTATGTTTTATCAGTGTCAGTTGGTATTATGTTTTAGGGCAAGGACCGACACCTTGTAAAGTGGATGAAATACCTTTCTCAGTAAATGGACAGCGGATATGTGTTGGTATGTTTATCAATGTTTGTATTTCCCTTCCTATTTCTCGTTTACTATTGCTTTCTCCATTCTTTATCACTATGAATTATATATTTTAACAAGATTATAATGTTCTAGAGCTTGTAAATAAAATCTGTAAAGATATAAACACCTTACTGTTTACTTCATCATAAATAATTCGATTTATATTGGGTATATGTACATGCACATGCATCTGCACACCAGTCAGGTGGTTAACTCGACGAAGGCAATTTAGTTTTGCAAAAATAAGAGGTAAGTGTATTATCGAGAGGGTATTCTTATTTAATAGTATGTCTATCCTGAGAATATTAATTCTCGTAGACAGAAACTTAACATACAACCCAAGGAAAAAAGTCACGCTGCCACACTGTTTTGCTGTGAGTGCTGAACGTGTTAAGGTTAACCCCGTCATACGTGTACCTCGTGGCAGGGACACATGAAGCAACCGATAGTAGAGTTAAATGGAGGAGTGATAAGATGAAAAGGTCATCGTCGCGGGACCTTGTGCACAAATACGTGCTATATGTCATTTCTCGTTTCGTCCTAACAGACAGCCGTGTGACATACATTGTATTTAGCTATTGTATTCAGTTGGGAAAAGACTGGAAAATAAAAACATAATGCATGGCAGAAAAACCAGTCGAATACGACGTTGTCTTACAAACGACGTATTGACAAGCACAGGTCATATGCAAATGCCTGTATTTATTCGATTTAAATCCTGGATGATCACAAAAATGGCCTGGGTCAGTAAGCTCAGTTAGGGGTACCGGTACATTCATGGATAAAAACCGTGTGATACTGCTCCCAAAGATGTTTGTGTTTTCAGGAGATCGCCCTGATTTCAAGACGGTCAGCATCTCGGCACCCGTCGTCGATGGCGCAGATTTTTTCTTTCACTGTGAAATTGATTGGAAACCAATCCCTGGCCTAGAGACCAATGCTAAATTTGAGGTAGTTATTGACTATGTGGAGTATGTAGACATACATGTATCATAGCGTACACCTTTTAACTGTAGGAAGTGGCATCAGTTAATTTTGCATTTAGAAGGTTTCAATATGCTCTCTTAACGTCCGTGGTATTTTTAGTGGAAGTGATAGCGCTGTCGCTGCAAGAGTATTTTATACCTGTGCCACATTAACCACAGCAAATCGGTTATTTGAAATAATCCATCAGGATACACTACATTGTAAATGATATACTGATTTTCAACATGTTTGTATGGCGACATATATAAATATTTCTAAGTCGCCTGAAATTTAAAGACTTAACCACATTGCAACACATTAAATTTGTTAACTGGATTTTCGACAGAAAATAAGAAACGTATCTCTTTTTAATTGAGAAAAATTGCTAAATATACAATCATTGAAAATTATCTAAAGGGACGTTTTCCACAAAAACGACAATATAATTATCTTGGAGACACGGAGTTTTTTATGTTCTCTTTCAGGTGGAATTTATGGCCAATGGGAAGGTCATTCACACTCTACCTGTGGACCACACCACCAACTTCACAGGAAAGATGCACCACAGACACCTAATTGGCCATCTACAGAAAGACGTGAATACTTTCACTTACATATCTAAATGAAATTTTGTTGATTCTTATGAGTACTTCAAGCACAGATTCCAACAAATAAGTTGAGATAATCAATAAGAATAAAAAAGGTATTAAGAATATTTTCTACAGCTGACGATGATAAAAAAGAGTAGCTTTATTTATAACGATTGCGTCCTTTACTTTGTACATCAGGATCGAATACGATGCTTTTAATGCCCTCGATATTATACTTCTTCAAACAACGCGTTTTCCCTCAGATCAGCTGCCGGGCGAAGAGCTATTGGGCCAGTAACCAGAACCTGGGCATGACGTCATTTGTCAACTCTAAAAACGACTACTTCGCTGGGGTTAAGGTAAGTGGTGACACCTACTACATGTATACATCGGCGTCTTCAGACATGTTTGTACAGCAACCAGCTAAACAAACAGTAGTTGACAAGCATAGCTTTATCTTAACTAAGTCAAGTGTAACGATTCTTTCTCTTTTATTTGCTTTTTTTCATTTGTTAATTGCGCCCTTTTTATTTATTATTTTGAATTTTGCTCAAATTGCAGCTTGAAACCGATGAAGGAGGAATGACATAATGCGTGAATGATATGTTAATAGCTTGAGATTCAATTGAACTTTACCTTAACATGTTATTTAATATGATTATATCAGATCTTTAAGAAGGGGACGACAACTGAGGTGACCACAGTCACATTGGACAAGGCAAAACTGAAACCATTCGAAATCGAACTGGCGTCAACCATCCCTATAACCAAGGCCTTTAACGGGAACCACCAAGGTGAAATGCATATGGCAGTTTCCACCAACGAGAAGACGCTGATGCTGCACCACCGTTGTACTACTACGTTTCACGAGACGGACTGGAGTGCCCGCCATAAGAACCACGTGGTCGCCAAACCTCCCCTGGTGATTTACCCTGTGTATGACGGTAAGACCAGACTGATGCCCTCCGCCTGGCCCCCCAGGGAGCTGAGCTTTGACAAGTTGATGTTCAGGCTCCCTTTTAATCCTGCCATACCCGTCAGTGTGTGGGACGGGTTCCATCTCAAGTCTTTGAAGGTAAACAGACGCAGAAATTTAAGGCGCCATTCAGAATAGATGATCCGAGTACTAACTGACCCGCCGACTAAATATGGCCGACCACACTTCAAAAGCGATGCCGCCGATTCCCAATGGTCTCCCCGTCTCCACATGCGCCATTAAACGGATTAAATCTCGGCTCCGAGGTTTAATTGCTAGGCCCCTGCAGCGACGGTGCGTGTGGAGGCGGGGAGACCATCATGGGATTAGCAGTATCGCTTTTGAACTGAGGTCGGCCATATTTAGTCGGCAGATCAGTTAGTACTCGGATAGTATCTGAATGGCTCCTAATATTCTGTGTTTTCTGAAAGTTGATCTGAAACAGGAGTTAATGGGTGTTCGTTTAAACTTGCCTTGACTCTTTTTTAAACTGATACATACCACTGAAGTGAAAAAGTCATTACATATACACAAGATACATTTTTCCAACATAAATATTGCTTTTAAAAAAAATTCTCACGTCGAATAATTTTAATGTATTTAGATATAGTCGAATGTCTGTATTTAAACGTGTTTTACACCCAATAAAGTGAATAGGGGTGTTAAAGTGAGGCAATTTTCATCGGTTTTAATTAAGAACCAATTTTAAATTACTTAAATATTTATATTTTCATATCCACAGGTCAACATAAAAGACTCCAGCACAAGTGAGTGCAGCTCAGTCAACGACCCTCATATAAGATCCTTCGACCGCAGGTAGGCGATCTACGGCTCTCTATGGCCGCTTTAACAAAGAACTCTTGACCGAGCATCTGTCTTGCGTTAAATTACCTTTTTTTATTTACTTTAACTCAAGACAAAGTGCATGCAGTAGTCTTATAAGATAAAGTAACTGCTGATCTTAAAACATTAAACATGCTTATCATGCTATATAATAGCAACCGTATTCCATTCATGTGAACCGCACTGATATGTCCTGGGATAAAGTGGAGAAATAAGTTTGGCTTTTTAAAATATTATCAGCAATTTTGGCGCATGGTTTACTTGAGGAGCATAAACCATTTTTAACACAGCATAAACAAGATTCACACAGATTAATAGAAAATAAGATGACCAAATCACTACGTTTTCATGTTAACAGTTGTTAGTGCCCCATCTTCATTTAGCATGTTGTCGTTTTCTTACATGTAACGTGCAATTTGTATTTCTGACAAACACGGACTTTTTTTCGTTTTTAGATATTTTGACAACCATGCTCTTGGGGAGTTTATCATGGCAAAATATGTTGGACCCAATACTTACTTTGAGGTAAGCGGTTGACAAGCGATGCTGTTCTTAACGCAAGCGCGCATTTTATGCCCAACCAGGTACAACTTAAATGATATATACAAATATCCGGAAGCAGAATTTTTGTTTAATATTTTCAGTTCGTTACAGAATAGAAAATATATTATTGCTTTAATGTTTAACGCTGTACAAGAATTCACCATATATATTAAAAGTGTATATGGATAATGTTGAAGGTTCGCACCCAGCATTGGCAGTGTTCGAAATCCCGAGCAAAGTGCAACTGCGGAGTGGCCGTCAGAGAAAACAACGATATATTCGTCATCAACGCCTGCCGAGGTCAAAGTGGGGGTATGGCCGGGAAAGCGCTGAATCCCCAGGTGTGGACGCGGTCAGCTGATAACTGTGGTCACGGGACCGGATGTCCAGCTCCTGGCGCCGCCATTCACAGAGACGGGAATGGGAAAAGCTTCAAGGTGGGTTTGCTGAGAGGAATCTGCAGTGTTGTCCATGTGTTTCAGAGGTTCACACTGGGCTAAGAGCAAATAATACAACAAATTAATTGAAGACATGTAATTTGTCACGTGGCTAAATGATAAAAGCCCGCTTAACTGAAATGTACAGAGTATCCTTAGATAATTGAACACATATCCAACATGCACAATGTATGTACAGTAGTTATGTTTAATTTTTTTTATCAATATTATATCTTATTAAATGTTAATAAATATAATTTGCAAATTTCCACCATTTCTTATCCAAAATCTGGTACATAGCAAAATGTACTTAGCTATAAATGGTAGTATATTATAATATATAGTAGGTAGTTATAGTAGTATAGTAATAGTAAAAGTTGTACAGATACCCGAGGTAGCTGAATGATGCGGACACCTGTATTATAATAGCTATAAAAAGGAATAATAACGGAGATATAGTCGATATAGTCATGTTTGATGACCAGATCTTTCAAAAATATAGTCAATAAAGAGAAAGTTGGAGTTCAGGTAAAGGTTATGTTTATTTTTTCTCATTCTACATTCACGTGTGTATATATAGGTTGTCTTTGTGCTTTCAGATCACCCTGCCCTCCGGAGCGTGGGTACAGGTGAGCACGGGACACTGGATGGGCATGAACGTGCACGTGCACGCGCCAAGCTATTTCATGAACCAGATGAAAGGCATGTGCGGTAATTTTAATGGTGATCGTGTTGATGACCAACACTCCAGCGCTTTCCTTGAGTCGCTCAGGTGAGACGTTAAAAACTAACTTTGTGGTTTTCTGAATTAATAACCAATATACCTTGCATCGTTTTAAATACATGTACTGAATAAGAACCATCTTTCAACACATATGGTCATTTTACATATGACGACAAAAGCACATAGTGACTAATTGTCACAGCATAGTAACAAAAATGTCTACGGACCCATTCAGAATAAAGGACTAACTAGTCCCAGGATCAAATATGGCGACCCACTAGGAAGCTTTCCGTCTAATCCGCTAATAAACACTAAATAGATATCCCGTGAGGAAGTATCCAAGTGGGTCAGCCATATTTGACCCTCGGACTAGTTAGTCCCCTATTCTGAATGAGGTCTTGTTGCTGAGGCTCGCAAAATTGATTATATGCATTCTTGTGTTAGTCCTCCCGACGAAAATCACATTCAATATTCTAAATGTCTTTTTTCAGCAACAACTTCTTTTAATTATTTTTGTTTGCTTACGTATTTAGCTAATAGAAGGTCTTGGAATAATTTTGTGAATTTTTTTCAGAGTTCCACCTCAAGGAACATATTTTCAGGCTAACGTCAAAATCCCAGAGATAGTGAAGTCTGTGGGTTCCCAAGGCAACAACTCAGCTTACTGTCACTGTCAGTCTGTGAACAAAAACGTCAATACAAACGCGCTCGTGTGTGACTTCAACCGCCACATTGCTGACAGCGCCAACCTTAATGGATATACAAAAATTAATACCCCAATTCTTACCCGATATCCCGCAGGAAATGGAAAACGCAGCGACGCAGTGAATAGTCCGGCAGACGATGATGAGATAGTGGACCTCAGTCTGTATAGTTATCCATTTGATTATGCAGAAAATACGCCAATAACCGTGCCCACGTTTTCTTGGCCCACTCCTGGGGGTCGCACCCAAAGATATGCCCTGGACTTGTGTCAGTAAGTATTTGTTTGATAATACATCTTTTGGTGACGTCGACTTAGACTAACTACAAAAATTGTTTTGCTCGTTGTTAGATATTAATGTGAGAATGCCTTTTTCACGGGCAAAAATTATGGGCATTCTGAATATACATGTAGGCTCTACATATTTGTAGGCATTATTTTAATCAAACAGATATTACGCTCCATAGGGGAGACCGGGGCTAGTTGGACCCCGGGGTAAGTTGGTCCCCCGTCAATTTTTAAAAAGTAACCACGAAAGTTGGACCCTCATATTACCCATAAACCTTTGCGGGCAACGCTGTTTGAAATAAACAAGTTGGTGAAATTGACAAAGCTTGCCGGTGTTTACCGTCTGATTGATTTTATTTAATTTGCTCTCTGGTGTCTTTTCAAAAATTTATATTAGAAATGTTCTGTTGATTGTATGTAATAAAAAGTAAATCCATTGGAATATCCTTAGAAAAACATTTATTTCGCCTTAATTCATTGTAAGGGGATTCACTTTGTATTTATAGTGTTATATGTGGCCCCAAGGGGATTTTCCACCCCTCCCTAGCTAGAGACCATTGTTGAAACAAACTCAATGGTTTAAAACTGAATTTGTTACTTTCTTTTAAAACGAACAATTATTATTCGTTTTCATTCATTAAAAGCCTGCTTTATACCATTATTAATTTATTCTTAATTAAAACAAAACAAATTTTATTGATAAATATTTTGGTTGGCCCCCCTGACGTCAACTGCGTTTTTTGTTAAATTGTGAGCCATCTGGCATTATATTTGAAAAATAATGACGTTGCATACGTAGCCTTGTTCATGGGGCTTACTTTGAAACCGGTTTTGTTACTCTAACTCATTCCAAGTTGGCTCTACAAGGCCAAAAGTGTCTAACTGGGCCAACTAGCCCCGGTCTCCCCTATTATTGTTTGATTTCCCTGGGCTGTTTTTTTTTTTTTTTTTCTTCTTCTTCTTTTTTGTGAAAATACAAGTCCGTTAAGTGGCTGCCTACAAGTGCATATGAATAGTTCCCGTGTTAGACAATATACCGACATAAACATTATGTTATGTTTGCGAATAGGTTTCCATTTGTCTTTCCAGCTCTGCTCTACGAAATTCCTCTGTTTACAGCCTGTGTCATAAAGTTCCAGACTTTGACAACTCTTTCATTTTGTCGCAATGTGTGGCCGACATACAGGTAACCAATAGAACGGTAATGGTCAGCACTGTAAACCGTCAGCTGTCACTTTTATATTGGTTATACTGATACTTAACTTCACATGAAAACGATATTTTATGTTATTCTGGACCACAGTCATAAATTATGGGGAAAATACGTTAAGATCAGCTGAGTTTTTACAAACAAATACAGAGTAACAGCCACCTTTATTACTGAGATTGTTCTGGATAATTTATACAATGTATGTTACTACCTTCAAACTTCCGCGTAGTAAAATATTTAGGAAAATATAATTAGGAAAATATATTGAAAATCTGATGGCAGCACGTTATTGACTACGTTTATATACATGTATGTTTGAGGACCTTCTGTGTACCAGATCCTCCCAAAACTGCTCCCCGAACGAAAACAAAATTATTAAAATACCATGCTCACTGCATATTTTTCTTTCTGTATTTTAAAACACCATAACCTCGGCAGATGTTAGACGAGGAGACGGTGGCCCTGGAGACAGCCAGGGATACATTTGAGGCCACATGTCAGGTCGAGGTAGAAAAGCTTGAATTCCCCCCTCTGCCCGCCAGTGGGACTCCAGTTGCTGTACCAGCCAACCTACGTGAACTGGCAGCCATCGTCAACTCAGGGGCCATCAGCAGTAAAGTGTGCCCTAGCCACTGTAGTGGTAACGGGGACTGTGTCAACGGGAAATGTCAATGTCGACCCCCTTACGTGTCCCAAGATTGCTCCTTACGGGACTCCCAGCCTCCTGTAGTGTCTGAAATTCAAGATGGAGGCATATGTGACGTCAGACGCAGGACATGCAAGAAGTTCCGTCTTGGCGTGTCTAACATAATGGAGGGTAAGGACTTCAAGTGCCAGGCAACAGTTGCTAAGGTATGTCACGCGATAAGAGTGTCATGGAAAGTCGATGTCAAAGTGCGTTGTTGGCTCTGAAAGAATACCACTTATAAATAAAGGAGACATATTGAACGACCTATTCAAATGTGTGCATACTTGTGGTGATCTATAAATGAAATGAAATTAATTTTCGATTTCAGATTGATCTATCCACCAGTATCCGTACCCCAGGCATGGTCTCGGACACCACTGCAGATATGATTTCCTTCGCAGAAATGACATGCGCATTACCGCCACACTCTGTGAAGATATTTGACGGTGTGACGTCATCACCAGGCACACCTGCCCTCGGTTTCACTCTTGCCGTCAGCAATAACGGGAAAGACTATTCCAACGCCGTGAACGTCACAGTCTATGACTCCAAGTGTGTCATGTGTACCGGCCATACCTGTGTCAGAAAGGTAGGTGCAATACCCAGGTGTGCCAATTCAGTAGTGCCTTGGGCTACAAAAAGTTCCCATTGAGTGTAGACTGCTAAATTGTCAGGAGGTTGTCTGCTTGGTGAAAGTACGTGGACCTTGTTTCGACGAAGACTGAAATGTGCAACGACACACAATTATTATTATTATTATTATTATTATTATTATTATTATTATTATTATTATTACAGAAATGACTGACGTTTGCACATGAACATTGGGTTTTCGGAAAAACTTGAAAAGAAGTGATTTAATTGTTGTTGGAGTTTTCTCCCCCTAACATCCCCACCCTCCTCCCCATCCTAATACACACATGACAACACCCATTTGGTGCACGGTGCTGAACTTACAAAGGAGTTATCCTCCCTGAATATTGACAAATCTTTTCTTTTTTTTTTCTGTGCAGGCTGGCACGTGCGTAATTAACGGGTACTGTATTGCGGACGGTGAGAGTCACCCTGGAGATCCCTGCCAGGAATGTGACGTGAACTCCAGTACAGACCAATGGACCAGACGGACAGGTAGGGGTTAGTATTCTGGACCAGATGGACAGGTAGGGGGTAGTATTCTGGACCAGACGGACAGGTAGGGGGAAGTATTCTGGACCTGACGGACAGGTAGGGGGTAGTATTCTGGACCAGACGGACAGGTAGGGGGTAGTATTCTGGACCAGACGGACAGGTAGGGGGCAGTATTCTAGACCAGGTATACAGAGAGATGCTAGTAATTTGGGAAGTTTGCAAGAATCATACGAGGAGTTGTGACGGTATATATTGTGTGACGTAGATGTGTATACATGTTTCTGCTTAGATCATGAATTTCCTGCCAAAAGGAGTTATAAAGCAATTGTCTTCTACACAAGAATTATTGCCTACTCTCCACCTGTCGACGTCAAAAAACATTTTTCTTTTCTTTTTCTCTTGTTTTTTAAGATGGGAAGTGCGCCAAGACGTGCTACTGTAAGCCAGGTTTCCAATGTAACCCCTCCACGATCACCTGTGAAGGTAGGGGATACTGCAGTGTATTACCAGTATATCGTTTCTCCGGTCATCTGTATAGCAGCTTTATACACTGTTAGAAAAAGGGCTACTACAAAGTCTTTATAAGTAAGAATATAAACCTGTAGATTTCATGGTTGAATTAATTTGGTGTCATTCTAAGCATGGTAAATTAATTTGGTGTCATTCTTAGCATGATAAATTAATTTGGTGTTATTCTTAGCATGTCTGGTCTAAAATCGTAAAGACTCTAATGTAATATTTCCTTGCCTTCAGATATCAACGAATGCCAGAATACAAGTATATGTGGTCTCTACGAAGACTGCCGTAATACTGAAGGCAGCTTTTATTGTTATAGTAAGTGCTAAAAGGCATTGAAAAAGGAAACAACAAAATGTTTCAATAAGCATAAGTGCAAAAATAAACAACGTATATTTGATTTTACTTTGCACATTCATTTCTGGGTAAAAAGTGATAGTATTGTACGAACATCCGTCGCGCGATATGCATCTGTTATTATTTGTCATTTAAAGCACGCATTCGATTTACTGCGTATGCGCCCATTCACAATATATATTAGGTAGCTGTAAAGGAAGGGGTTTTCATTAATTTGCATTTTCATTAATTTATGTTTTATTTTAACAGGGCGAACCTCGGGGTGTCCTCAGCACTACGCAAAGTTCGGAAACGCTTTCTGTTATCGCGTGCACCTGTCTAAGTCGACCTTCACCCAGTCACGTGCCACTTGTACCAGCGAGGGGGGCGATCTGGCCATGCTGTCTCGGGGAGATTACAAAGCTTTAACCAACAATATTGCGGGAAATCTTGGGTTGCTGTGGATAGGTAAGTTCATTTTAGAGATGGCATGCAGTGAGAAACGATGGTAATTGTTGGTGTTTCACTTGACGTTTGACTGTCATGGAATTCACAGGTGAAAGTTCTAATTTGGAATCACCACAACCATAACAATAACTACATTTATAAAGGAATTCATATACAGATCAGTAGTGAGACTTTAAGTTTTCTTTCAGTGAAACGGTTCAGTCATTAGGTAAAAGCGCCCTGTGTGTTGAATGTCCTATCACTTTCTCATCATATGTACTGGCGTATATGACTTCATCAGCAGTTTTGCCACTACTTGTTTAGCGGTATATTTCGGAGATACAAAAACAGAGACATTTTTAATAGATAAAAAAATCGCTTTATTTTATTAGAAAATACACTGTATATTACATGCTTAAACCGTTACCGGCGGTAAGCTTTGCAATTAAAAAAATATAGCATTTCCTTCAAATGGATAGAATTCTTTGACATAACTTGGCATTATAAAAAGTAAACTAAAATACTTTCCCTCGTTTCCATATGATTTTGTCTCATATGCAACAAATACCAACATGTGTCATCTTTAAAATGGTATATTTTAGGAGTCGTCCTAGACAGAGTTGACAACCTTTACAGATACATAGATGATTCCGACTATCTCCCCTGGGTGAATGGACTTCCGCTCGATGTCAAGAAAGGACTTAATTGCGTTGCCATGGATACCAACGCCGCATTTCGGTATGTCGGCAAAAGATGCACAGACAGGGCGGGGTTTGTCTGCCAGGCCAAATGGCAAAAACCATAACTTTGATTTTCAAAGCATCTTAGGTCAGTGCTCAAATAACAGTGTTTCAAATGAAAATAGGCATTTTATAACGTTGACAAAATGTTTACTTACTTCTCAATATTCGAGATTGATTTAGATAGGAACGATGGTGCCCAATGCGAGGCAAGCTCTGCGATAACGAGGCTGTTTGTGTGTGACTGAGTACTGGTGAGCAGTTTACAGTATTTTCGTCCCTAGATCATTATATTACCTGTTGTTGACATTAAAATATCCTAATCCTCTGTTATTGAAGTGCATGTTATACATTTTAAAACATATTAAAACATCGTGATAAATTTAGAGCTTCAAACGCTGGGTCCAACAAAATAGTATTTCGATATCAGTTCATGTCAATGATCGCACCGGTATGTCCTTAAACAAGTAATGCAGATGCTGAAGAGACAAAAAATACCGTCGTTTGCACGTCAGAAAAATCCGTTACCAACCGTGTTCATTATGTCAGAACATCTAGTTTCCCAACAATTTCAAGTTCCTACTTTGTGGAAATTTACATTGTTATTAGTGCAGGATACAAATGTTAACGCGATAAAATTATCCGTCAATTGCCTTTATATCGAAAAGGATTCAATTTTGACAATTTTATTTTTGCATTCATTCTAAGGCAAAATGTCAACGTACTCATCTATAATATGAAATCCGTATCAACGAAGTTCTATTTTATGACATTTTGGCCACTCCAATACACTTTAATACAATACACCCCAGTATACATTAATACAATACACCCCAGTACACAAGAAAGTATTTATCGGTTACTTATACTGGCCTTCCAATTAATGGCACTTGTTAAACAGCTGTTTGTGTAACAGTGAAAGAAGCATACCACTTTCGATTGCCGGTGTGAAGAAGTCTCAGTTCGTTTCGGCGACTACATTGAGGTGGTTGTGACACAATGCGGTAGGTGTTCCAGTGTAATTGTGCTTTATTGTAAAACAGACAGAGGCTAGGTATTTTTAAAAATTTTAATTTTTTTTCAAATTAAAATTACACCAGTTTTCGTGTGTGCGTACCATGGCTACCAATTTCTTCAATGAAAGTAAACAGAAAATAAAGTGGAATGATAAACGTTTTATCCACCACAACTGAGCTGTTTTAATCCTGTGCCCTGCGTCCCTCAGAAATAGCATAACTAAGGCATTATACCTCAGCCGGGCAGAAATGTTGTATACACACAAAGTATACAAATTGCTTTTTGAATCCGCAACTCCGCATTCTAGCAACACTTCCCTGTCTGTATTAATATATTTATAAATCAAGTTTAAGGTATATTTATTTTAAGTTAAATATGTTAACGAATAACTATAAGTTTTGAAAAAATATTAGGACCGGAGTCACGTCAACCAGTATGTGTTTAGTCTTGTCTTAACCAGGTCTTTTGTCCAGACTGGTGGTTTTACTTCCTTGTGATTTACTGGCAGTGTTCTGCACTTGATGTTGTTTAGACCGTGAAGTGGAATTAGTGACGACATCAGAACTTGTCTCGCTACTACTGCAGCGACAGAAAAGTTTGCGCCACAATCTTCGGTACCCGTCCTTCACTTCCGGTAGTCTGATGCCATACACAATGGGGTCTATTATCGTGTTCAGAAGTGCAAACAGACCCGCTATGTGCTGAGCGAGAAAACGTCCGTCCCAGTCACGCGATGTGTTATTCTTAAATGACAATATCAGGAAAGCCATCACCACGGCAGGCGTCCAGAACAGTATGATGGTGACCAGGAGAAGGCCGATGGTAACATGGAGTTTCATATCTTTCTGAATTCCCTTGGCGTGCTGAGAGGCTGAAATTGCCGCCTCCTTTTTCAAAACGTTCTTGATTTTCCACCAAAGCAACCCATAAAGTAAAATGTTAAAAAATTCTAGGACACTGCATATCGTACCAACATACAAGACTGAACTCCAGAAGTATTCTCCGTAAAAATGCTCCCAGCATTGGCCGGAATCCGTGTATTCATTTGTAGTAAGATACCCGACATGGAGGCCAATATGAACAAGCAGCTGAAAACACAGCGAGAGGACAAGACCCAGTGTTACCCTGCGCCTGTTCACAATGGTGGGAAACTTAAGCGGGTACAAGATAGAAATTGACTGAATGATAACGATGCACGTGGTAGCAATAAGAGGGGGCCCCATGCTAAATCTAGCTAGGTCGTTCAGGATCTCGTCCCAGCAGCCAAATGCCTCAGCTGAGAGCGCTTTGGAACCGTCTGTGTACAGCAGCGTCATCAGGAGAGCGTAGACGAAGTCAACCGTGGCAAACAATAGGTCTGTGAACGCTATGAACTTCAGTGCCAGGTAAAAGGAGGAGCTGCGTTTGCTCGTCTTGGCCTGACTCAGTGCCAGCAGAGATATGACATTAAACACAATCCCAACCAAGCACAATGCCATCTCGCAGGGATAAAGTATATTACTGTAAGACGTAGTAAAGGAACAGTTATTACACGACTCATTGTACACAGAGCTGTTTAAATAAGAATAGTTCAGTTGTGCATCTGTGTCGTTTAAAAAAGAAACGTTCCATTGTTCTACCTTCCTAGACACTGGGGTGGTATGTGGCGGGGTTTCTATGATAGGATTGGGCGGTGGCGTCATCGGGCCCCATGCCGGCATTGCAATAATGTTTGGTTCAGGTGTTGGAGGTCTTGTCATGAATTGTAGAGGCGGCGGTGTCCACAGCTCTAGAGGCGGCGGTGTCCACAGAGTCAAAGGTGGCTGTGTCAACAGTTCTAGAGGTGGCGGTGTCAACAGTGTTAAATTTGGTAACGCCATTTTGGGACAAAAGTTATCAAAAGGTACAGTATATTACCTGCTCGTCCAAACAGAATAAGTATTTAGAATGCTCCTGTTTCTTGGTGAAATGCTATACTGTTGCTATGACAAAGCTGAACTGTTCCTGGGGCACCTGTGCTAAGCTAGGAGATGATCGCATTAAAATCCTTGTAAAAATCCCAAGTCATTCAAAACAACCAAGAAAGGTGTATCCTATGTCATCTTCGACCCAACTGAGTGATAGGTCAGTCACGTGGTCTATATTTCACACACTTCTCCAGTTGCAGTTATTTCTTCCTCAGTTTTACAAAGAGAAATAACTTAGTATTAAAGTTGAGCAGTTTTAACAATGACGCACGAATATCTCAAGGTGTTAGGGTCTCCACGTCCTACACAAACAGTGTTAGTACTGTTTCCGTGCGGGGTTGAACCTTTCCCCTGCCCGTAATTACTATGTCTGCACAAAGACTCGTTATTTCGCTTTGTTCAGTGATCTACGTCGTTGTGAAATGCCTGTTCCCGGATGTCTGTCCCCGCACTTGGTCCTGTCCCCGATATAAAAACGACGTTAAGTCGGTATGCCTGCTATTATCACATCCATTCTACTTAATAATACATTGTGCTGACATGACGTGGGTGACAACACGGACAATCCCATCTGTATCTTAATTGTAAGGTTATTTATCCCAAGCCTGCAGGGCACATGACGTTCTGTTTTTTCTAAAAATGACAAAAATTTTAACACCTATCTCTGAACAGACCAGCACGAATGACGTAGACCTTTCCAGTAAAACGTTAATAGACACGGAGAACAGATAAGATGACACTCCTCTATTCTACTGGATGCAGAACGATTATGTGACTTATCTCAGTCGAGAGAAAAGTGCCGATAAGAGTTAAAATGCATTCGATGATGAATTCTCTCGTCAA